AATGTTTCTACTGTGTCTGTGACTGATGTGGTACTAGGTAAGGTAAGCAAGTGTATTATCACATTAATGTTTCTACTGTGTCTGTGACTGATGTGGTACTAGGTAAGGTAAGCAAGTGTATTATCACATTAATGTTTCTACTGTGTCTGTGACTGATGTGGTACTAGGTAAGGTAAGCAAGTGTATTATCACATTAATGTTCCTACTGTGTCTGTGACTGATGTGGTACTAGGTAAGGTAAGCAAGTGTATTATCACATTAATGTTTCTACTGTGTCTGTGACTGATGTGGTACTAAGTAAGGTAAGCAAGTGTATTATCAAATTAATGTTTCTACTATGTCTCTGTGACTGGTACAGTACTAGGTAAGACAAGCATGTGTATTATCACATTAATGTTTCTACTGTGTCTGTGTGACTGATGTGGTACTAGGTAAGGTAAGCAAGTGTAGTATATTTGTGTGACATGCAGTACTCAGCTGAGGACATTTCTTAGTTTTATGGACAGTTAGTTGTAGAAACTAAACTCTCGTGTTCAGTACAGACCTTTTTTTGTTTTTCAGTTGTAAAGCTCATCTAGCATTTTAATATTTTTTTGTTTGATAAAAAGTGTTTCCAACTTTGAAGTCTTCCAGTTACTGTTTGACAAGATGGTCCATATTTTGTGTCAATGTTAACTAATTGATAATACATGTTTTTCACATCTAATATTAACAGAGTACTTGGGTATACTGACCAGTATATATACATACACTTGATAGCTAGTTTAGTAAAATCAAGTAAGAACCAGTTGAAAGAACCATCATATTTTTATATAAGAACACTGTTATTGTAATCTGTTATATGGACATAACCTAACAGTTATCTTTTGCTCAGTATTTTTTATAAAACAGATAAAGAATAATATATTTTAAGGTAACCTCGACTCATTTTCAGACAAGTGCTGAGCTTTGGGATTTTTTAGCATTTTCGTTGCATATTATGCTCAAGTTTTAGAAAACATAAGTTGAGACGTATGAATGGCTGTATGAAACTGTGTATTATCTGGATAATTTACACAAATATAGATTAAAAACATTTTCTCAGGTCTGTTTGGTTTTAAAAAAGTATCAAAATATTCCTAAACAAACTACATATGTTCATGTCAAGGACAGTTTTAAGAATCTTAAATTAATCAAACTGCCTAACAATATTATATAGTTTAGTCATTAAACTGATTGATATTGTTGTGCAAAATGTTTATAGTTAGTGACCATGACTTGGTATAGTTGTTTAAACCATTAGCCTATGCAAGAGCTTAAAGTACATATCTTGAACAATCAGAAGTAGCCTTTGTGATATATTACACACAAATTCTTTTATATATCTCAGTACCCCTTAAACTGTTCTTATAATTGGAAACATGGCTTCTAATATCACTGTTTTGTGTTAATTCTGAAATTTTCTATGTTGATAATGAATCAGTTTTGTAGTGGCTGAAGAAAGCAATAAATTTGGTATTTTGAATATACTAGTCTTTATATGGGTTATACACTTGTAAATTAACACACAAACATCTTGTGACTGAATGAATGATGAACTGTGTGTGTGTGTGTGTGAAGGCCATATTAGCTTTATCATTTCTGACTAACAATAAACCAGTGTTAAGAAAATCAATAGTTGTGTATTTACACCAAATAGAATATCATGGTTAACGTGACTGTTGACATTAAAAATTCAGAAATCTACCAACTAGTATTTCTGGGAAGCTTATCTTGAGCTAGAAAAGGATACATTACATTAGTTGTTTTTACATATATAGTTTAGTTTTTTTCTTTCAATAACTTAATCATGATTTCTTTAGCTTGGGCCATATCAGCTCTGTTCAAACTAGCAACTCTCACTTCAGCAAGCAAGGGATTCAAGGCCCTCTCCTTCCCTTTCTGGAATTGCTTCACCTAGACAAGAAAATAAATATATATCAGAAAATTATAAAAAGTCAAAATATACTACTCAGACTTACATAACACAAGAAAATGTTAAGCCTACCTTCTGTGGGTATTGTTTTATAACTTTCTGACAAATGGCTTCCAGCATCTTCTCATCACAGATTTGGCTCCACCCGTAATCACTCACAATCTGTGTATAAATAATTTTAATATATATTAAGTCACAGAACTCCAAAAATGAGATTTATTTTTAGTAATGATATCTTTGGCACATATATCTATATAAACACACACACACACACCTATATAGATGTGGTCTACAGCTTACATATATATAAACACACATATATCTGTACAACTTGTACAGAAGACATCCACAAGGTACTAATACAAACACGTGTACATCTTGTACAGAAGACATCCACAAGGTACTAATACAAACACGTGTACAACTTGTACAGAAGAAATTCACAAGGTACTAATACAAACACGTGTACATCTTGTACAGAAGACATCCACAAGGTACTAATACAAACACGTGTACAGAAGACATCCACAAGGTACTAATACAAACACATGTACATCTTGTACAGAAGAAATTCACAAGGTACTAATACAAACGTGTACAACTTGTACAGAAGACATCCACAAGGTACTAATACAAACACGTGTACAGAAGACATCCACAAGGTACTAATACAAACACGTGTACATCTTGTACAGAAGAAATTCACAACGTACTAATACAAACACACGTAAAACTTGAAGAAAATTGCTCTGTATCAACACATGTAGAAACAATTTACAATGTATTTAACAATCACACAATCTTTAACATGACATAATGTTTAGGGACAACAAAGGGCCTATTGGTCCATCTTGGTTGTCCTATCCTCTAAACTAAGTTAAAACTATTACATAAATTAATTTAAAAAATATATAGTAAAACAAATCTTAAAGCCAGCTCTTATCAGTCATATACTTATCAAACTCACTGCTTCCACATCTCAAGGCAACCCATTTCAGAGACCAACCACCCTGTTAACAAAAATAAAACTCCTATCTTGCCAAAATTAATATTTGTGTCCCCTAGTCCTATTATTCTCACTGTTAAATATAAAAAAAATGATGCATCAACACTATTAATTCCCTTTACAATCTTAAACACTTCAATCAGATCCCCTCTAACTCATATTTCTTGAAGAGAAAACAATTTCATAGATTTTAATCTCTCCTCATAATGAAAACCCTTCATTCTTGTAGCCCTCTTAATTAACTCTTTTCTAACAATTCAATTTCCTTCCTAAGGTAAGGAGTCCAAGAACACAATATTCCAAATGTGGTCTAACCAGTGACTTATACATTACAAACACTTTATACATGTATTCAATATTTCTGTAGATACAACCTAAAATCCTATTTTCCCTACCACTGGTAACAACATGCTTCTTGGATTGCTTTAGAAACTGATCAACTATTACACCAAGATCCCTTTCCTTCATAACACTATTATCGTTATTCCCATCCAAATTATACTTGTAATTCAAATTATGATAACCCACATGCATTATCTTGCATTTATTATAATTAAACCACATTTGCCATTTATTTGCCAAACTCACTAAATGATCTAAATCCTTTTGTAAAGTACAATCCTCCTCACAGCAAGCAATGCCCAAGATCTTAATATCATCAGCAAATTTAAGTAATTTATTGACCATTTCTTCATCTATGTCACTATGTAAGTCAAAATCAACAAAGGTCCTAAGACTGATCCACAAGGTACCCCACTTGTAACATTAATCTAGTTTCACTGAACTCTATTTGTAACAACCCTCTGCTTTCTTCCATCCAATTTGCCAACTTATCCCCCACACCTGTAGAAATATTTTTTTTTGCAAGCCATTTATGTGGCACCTTGTCAAATGTAATCTGAAAATCCAGATACACCAAATCTAC